GCATGGGTAGGCCGGTTATTTAACGTGTGTGGTGGATACGCAGGTCAAGGATTAGACTTCGGTTTCAGAGGTCCCGGTGGTTAGAGAGTTGGTAGCTGTGTTTCCGGAGGAGTTACCTGGAGTGCCTCCGAAGAGGAAGGTGGAGTTCAGGATTGATCTAGTGCCGGGTGTGGCCCCTATCGCTAAGGCGTCGTACCGTTTAGCACCACCAGAGATGCAGGAGTTGTCATCTCAGTTGCAGGAGTTGTTGGGTAAGCAGTTTATTCGTCCGAGTAGTTCTCCATGGGAGCACCGATCCTTTTTGTCAGGAAGAAGGACGGTTCGCACCGAATGTGCATTGATTATAGGGAGTTGAACAAGTTAACGGTGAAGAACCGTTATCCACTCCCGAGGATAGATGATCTTTTCGATCAATTGCAGGGTGAATCTTGGTTTTCCAAGATCAATTTGAGATCCGAATATCACCAGGTCAGGTTGAGAGAGGAAGACGTGGAGAAGACCGCGTTTCGGACTCGCTATGATCATTACGAGTTTGTGGTTATGCCGTTTGGGCTCACCAACGCGCCGACAATGTTCATGGATCTGATGAATCGGGTTTGCAGACCAATGCTTGATCGCTCGGTCATAGTGTTCATAGATGATATCTTGTTGTATTCCAAGACCCGTGAGCAGCACGAGGAGCACCTCAGGGAACTATTGGGAGTTTTGAGGCGAGAACGGCTTTATGCCAAGTTCTTGAAGTGTGAGTCTTGGTTGCGAGAGATCCAGTTCCTTGGGCACCTCATTAACCAGGATGGGATTTTGGTCGATCCGGCCAAAGTTGAGGCGGTTATGTAGTGGGAGATTCTGAAATCTACCTCAGATGTTAGGAGCTTCTTGGGATTAGTAGTGTACTATTGGAGATTCATTCGAGATTTCTCCAAGCTTGCAGTACCCCTCACTCGTCTAATGAGGAAGGGGGCGGACTTCCGGCAAGCCCCGCCTTTGAGACCCTCCGACAGTGTTTATATGAAGCGCCAATGTTGACACTCCCCGAGGGAGTTGAGGATTTTGTAGTATTCTTTGATGCATCCATCACAGGTTTAGGGGCAGTCCTCATGCAGAGAGGACGAGTGATAGCCTATGCATCACAACAGTTGAAGCCGCATGAGACGAGATACCCTATGCACAATCTGGTGTTAGGAGTGGTGGTATTCACTCACAATATTTAGAGGCATTACCTATATGGGGTCCGTTGTACCATATACATGGATCACAAGAGTTTAAGGCACATCATGGATCAGCCGAACCTGAATATGAGGCAACGCAAGTGGCTGGATGTAGTCAAGGACTACGACTGCGAGATCCTTTACCACCCTGGTAAAGCGAATGTGGTTGCGGACGCTTTGAGCCGCAAGTCAGCTGGGCCTTCTACCTCAGCAAGGTGCATGAGGATAGTGGTGGATTCCCCGCTTGTGAGCTTGATTAGAGATGCCCAGGTTGAGGTCATGCGGCCAGAGAACTGGAAGTTGGAAAGGGTCAAGGGCGAGAGCACCCAGTTTGTTTAGGATAGCCGTGGATTATTGACCCGATACGGTCGGGTTTGGGTTACGATATCTGGTGGGGTCAGGAAGATAGTAATGGAGGAGGCTCATAAGTCTCACTTTTTTGTACACCCGGGGGCCACCAAGATGTATCGCGATCTGAGTTTGAGTTACTAGTGGCCATCTATGAAGCGAAAAACCGCTTGGTATGTCGAGAGGTGCTTGACTTGTAGGATGGTCAAGGTCGAGCATCAGAGGCCGCATAATAAGCTGCAACCTCTAAAAATTCCCATGTGGGAATGGGAGCAGATCACGATGGAATTCATTACGAAGCTGCCGAGGATGGCGAAGGGGTTCGATGCTATATGGGTCATCGTGGATCGGTTGACCAAGAGTGCCCATTTCTTGGCTATTCGGGAGAGTTCGTCGGCCGAGAAATTGGCCAATATGTACGTCTGCGAGATTGTCTCTCGCCATGGAGTTCCGGTCTCCATCGTTTCCGACCACGATGTCAGGCTTACCTCTCGTTTCTGGCAGAGGTTCCATGAGGAACTAGGTACACGGCTGCACTTTACTACAACGTTTCATCCTCAGACCAACAAGAAGAGCGAGCGGACCATTCAGAACCTCGAGGATATGTTGAGGACGTATGCTATTGACTTCGAAGTGAGTTGGGATTCCCATCTACCTCTTGAAGAGTTTGCTTACAACAACATCTATCATTCCAATATTGGCACCTCGCCTTTTGAGCTGTTGTATGGTCGAAAATGTAGAACCCCGGTCTATTGGGGAGAGGTTGGACACATAGTGACGGGTCGGATGAAGGTAGTTTTGCAGACTACCAAAAAGATTCACCAGATCAGGCAGCGAATTTAGACCTCCTAGAGTCGACAAAAGAGTTACGCTGATAGACGCCGATCGGATTTGGAGTTTCAGGTTGATGACATGGTACTCTTGAAGGTCTCACCCTGGAAGGGCGTGATTCACTTCAAAAAAGGGGGAAAGTTGGGTCCCCGCTATATTGGGTCGTTCAAGGTCATTACCAGGATTGGTAAAGTGGCGTACAGGCTGGAATTACCGGATGAGCTTAGCCGGATTCAAAACACCTTTCACGTTTTACAATTGTGAAAGTATATTATGGACCCGTAGGAAGTGGTGCCACTGGATGACATTAAGGTGGATGAGCGCCTGAATTATATTGAGAGGTCGGTTGATGTTTTGGAAAAGAAACTAAGAGTCCAGCGCAACAAGGAGATACTGTTGGTGAAGATTCAATGAGAGCATCGGAAGGGATCTGAGTGGAAATGGGAGTCGGAGGCTGAGATGTGGGAGCATTGCCGGGAGTTATTCACTACAGTAGACTTCGAGGATGAAGTCTAAGCTAAGTAGGGGAGAACTGTAACGTCCCAACTGTCAGGTATCATTATTATTCCATTTAGATTCGTGTTTTAAGGTCTACTCGACGAGTTGACATTGTGACTCGTCGAGTAGCAGCGGGTCAGGACTCATCATTTAATGAGTGACTCGGCAAGTTGGCATAGGGACTCGACGAGTAGGAGCTGGCAGAGGAAACCCTAAATTTCAGGGTTTTTACACCCTATATATTGGACCATTAGCGCCTCCCACTGTCCTCTATCACCCTTGAGAGCCAGAAACCCTAATATCCGTGAGTTTGAGCTTGGAGAGTGTTTTGGAGCTTTGGGAAGTGACTTTTATGAAGGAAACTTGTAGATCAAGAGGCTAGCATCAAGGATTTCATGTTGATCCATAGTCTACTTCAGCTTGGGCACGTTTTGGAGGTAACAAGCTGTTACCTTGGCCTCTTTTCTTCTAGAATCTTTCATATGTGAAGCTTAGGGCTTTCTTTAGCTATTAATGAAGGGATTATGGTATGGGAGCTAGATCTAAAGTTGAAACTTCAGATCTGAACCTTTTTTGAGCCCTAAGTTCATAAAGTTCTTAATAGGGTCATGAAGAACCCTTGTTTATGAGTAAAGTTCCATTTCAAGCTTAGATGTGGAATTGAAGGCATGCAAATACGTAAAGGTAGAAACTTTACGTTGCTAATGCACTCTAGGGACCTAGATCTAATAATTGGAACAAAGGGATATTTCAAAATCGCTTGATCATGAGAGTATGCGTATGGACTCGGCGAGTCTGGGAGATGACTCTGCGAGTTAGGTAGGGTTTTGTCCAATTAGTCCCGCATGGACTCGGCGAGGTCTGAGAGATGACCCGACGAGTCAGATTGGATTTCCAAGCATTGGGTCGTATGCATATGGACTCGGTGAGTCTGGGAGATGACTCTGTGAGTCAGGTAGGGTTTTGTCCAATTAGTCCCGCATAGACTCGGTGAGGTCTGAGAGATGACCCGACGAGTCAGATTGGATTTCCAAGCACTGGGTCGCGTATCGACTCGGCAAGTCTACTAGAGACTCGGTGAGTCGAGTCGAGAAATTCTGGAATCAGGATGAACTCGAGGTAGAGAGAGTTATATTCAGCAAATAGGTCAACATGGATTGTTGACCATTGACCAATGACTTGACTTAACTGTGGGATGTCTTGTACCTCCCTAGGGCATTTTGGTAATTATAGTGATTATTGAGTGGACCACTTATAGGTACAGGCGAGGTGGTTGGAGCTACATCTGGAGGTGTGGATAGTATCATTTCATGGTACTAGCAACGTGAGTTATCCTCACTATATCAATAGGGTCTAAGCCACCAAGGCTGGCCCTTTTAGTTGTTATCTTGGTTATAGTATGCTACATGTGGTTATGAACTGTTAGATTGGTATCAGGATAGACAGTATGTTGTTATGCTCTTATGATTCGTTAGGATTAGTATGTTAGTGACCTGGTTAGGTCAGTTCTCTGGTTATGAGATATTGCTATGATCAATGATGTGTGAGATAGTTATATATGATATCTGTACATGCTGGTATATGTTAGTTATGTGCGCATGGTTATTTGCTTGATGTTTGGGTTGAGGCGGTCCTGCTTTGTGCTAAAGGCCAACATACCCTACGAGCGGTCCAGATACACTGTAGGCCCGTATGGCGATCCAGTTATATCGAAGGCTCGTGATAGATCCATATAGACTGTAGGCCCTGCAGGGCGGTCAAGTCAGGCCGAAGGCCCAGTATGCATGTTGTTGATTATCTGTTATTGATATGGTATTATCGATATGGTAGTGGTATTTTAGGGGTAGCTCACTAAGCTCCCGGGCTTACAGTTTTAGTTTATTATTTCAAGTATTTCCGGAGATCATGGCAAGGCGAAGGCTTGACAGTACCGCTCCTCATCCATATGATTATATTTCTGGGACACTCTGATGAATAATAATTTTGAAAACATTTTGAAAAACACTATTTTGGTTTCATGGTTGAAAAGTTTAAATTTAGCTTAAAATTTTTGGATGTTACAGTGTTGTTGGCGGTGACATCTAGGGCTCGAGTTAAGGCAGAGCATTTGAGGCAATGGAAAAGGAGAAAGAAAGAGCTTTTCTTCTAGGAGCAACAGAGATAAAAGGAAGTGTAGCGGTAAGGGAAGATCAAGTGAGAGGTGATGGAATGATCGGGAAGTAAAAAAGAAGCGGTGGATCGGATCAGTGGATGTTGAGTCGGTGACACCAAGGTTAATTCTATTGGGGTTTTGTAGCGGTGGACAACACATCAAAACACGTGGATTTGAAGATACCAAGAAAGAGAAAATCCCCAAAACATTAGAAAAAAAATCAACCAATGATATGAAAGTACTGTTCACCAAGGAGTTGTAAATTAGTATATTATATAATTAATATAATTTAATATATAACAAAATATTGTAAGTATTAAATATTATATTTAAATTATAATTAGTAGGTAAAAATGACCTATAAATGTATAAATATATAAACATAGCGCTAAATCTGACAACGCAAAATTCATCTCCATTTTGGGAGAAATGAATAATATATAACATGATATTATGATCAATTAATATAAATTTATGATCAATTAAACTCTATATTTAGGATCAATTAATATAAATTAGTATATAACATGATATTATAAATATTAAATATTACATTTAAATTATAATTAGTAGATAAAATAAACTAGAAATGTATAAAATAAAAATGAGAGAGACTAAAATTGATAACCAAACTTCACCTCTATTTTTAGAGATATGAATAGGGTTAGAGAATAATAGAGGAAGAAATGTGTGTGTGTATGTGTGTGTGGGGGGGGGGGGGATAGAGTTTGGGGGTGGGTTGGAAATGCCCTAAGAGCATCTTCAACCCACTCTCATTTTCCATCATTTCCTTTATTTCTTCCTTTATTCCTCTCTAATCATACCTCATTTCTTCCCTTATTTTGGAGGAAATGAACACTATAACACCATATTTTATGTTATACTATTCATTTCCCCCAAAATGGGGATAACTTTGAGTTGTTGGTTTTAGTCCGTCGTTTTATATATTTATACATCTCTGGTTTTTTTTACATATTAATTATTATTTAAATGTAACATTTAATACTTATATATATATATAGTGTTATATATATATTAAATTATATTAATTAATTATAAATATTTTTTTTTGTTTATTTATCAAATTCGTACTAAAATTTAAATACATATTAAAATTTTAAAATACAATAACGTATTTTACAAAAGCTTAGGTCATCTACATCAGTGCAATGTCACTAATCTTTTAATTGTGCCAAATCAACTTTGCAATGACTACTTACATCAGTGCAATAATACTCATCTTTCAATAGTGGTCCCCACTGCCACATGGACAATTACTTTATATATATATATATATATATATATATATATATATATATTAATTATTAATATTTGTTAAATAATAATTATAACTAAAATTAAAATGATATGCAATATATATATATATATATATATATATATAAATATATATATATATATATATATATATATATATATATATATATATATATATATGGGTAAAGTGAATATACCTAACAACCTTATATAAGCTTAGGTACCTAACTACATCATACTACGTAATTTTGTATCATATTTGCATTGTAATCACTCAAAGTTCTTAAAATTCAACCTCATAACTTGATTGCTTCCAAAATCTTTGGACTTTCACCATTATCTTCCTTCAAATGACGTATTTCTATCGGAGACCCCCTGGTGGGCTTCATATACTACTGTTACAAATCAAATGGTGTAGGAAGAATATAATGGTGAATATCTGAAAATCTTGAAAGTAAATCAAGTTAAGGATTGAAGTTTAAGAACCTTAGATGATTCCAACGGAAATATAATGCAAAACCATGTAGTATAATGTGGTTAGGTACCTAAGCTTATATAAGGTTGTTAGGTACATTCACTTTACCCTATATATATATATATTGTTGTCGATCAAAACAAATATTATATATAAATTGTACTTGTATTACAAATATGTATCCCTATGTAAAAGAATTACAACACATCCATATAATATACTATAATAATAATAATATGGATATAATATACTATTATAATGATATGGCCTACATAAAGCCTTTGCAAACCTTTCAATAGTTGAAAGAAGAAGGCTAAGGTGACTTTCAATATATACTTAGATGAAATAAAACACCGATGTTGGTGCTCTTATAATGTATTATAAATATAATATTATTTTAATAAAAAAAAATAGATTATGTATTTATTAAAACCAAATTAATACAAAAGGTGTATTTGATAATTTATATAAGTTTAATGAACGAAATATAATTTTTGGGAGTAAAAATAAAATAAAAAATAGAGAAGAGTTGAAGATGAAATATTATTCTTTTATTTTTTTATTTTATTTTTGAAAGAAAAAAATCAAAATAAATTGAAGATGGTCTAAGAACTCCAAATTAACATTTATCACTCCTTTTAGCATTAATCTATTTGCTCACTAAGAACTCCAAATACATTTGAACCGTTACTTTAGCATCTAAAAATATTGGTTGACCAAGAAATTATATATTACGCTTTTAAAAAAAATCCTTATAAGGATTAAGGAATACCTACAAAAATTAATACGTTCACATAATCCATAAACTGATAAAAGCCATAATAATTATTTTTTATGAAAAGTTTATAATAATTATTTCAGTCGACGAAATATATCAAATTTACAAATTGAGTAATGTTGGCGTTAACACATATTTTATTTCAACTGGAATCCGGCCTTCGACAACAACAAAATATCTTGAGACACGTGGCAATAATAATTTGAATTTTAAACATTTAAACGTTCCCCTTTTCTGCTATAAAACCTCTTGCAGCTTTCCCTTTCTCTCTACCTCTCTTCCTCAAGCCTCTTCAAAGCAGATCTCTCTAGAAATCACCAAGGTAAATCAACGTCCAAAAACCCTAGATCTCTTATTCTATACAAATTCACAATCCATATCTTTTTTGATTAATCGCAATTCATGTTAAATCCACATTTTATGTTTTCATTCGATCCACAATGTGTCTTACTGTTCATACGATGTAATTGAGTAATCATTATCCCTGATCTGTAGCAATTATTGATTAGTGCATCATGCAATTATACAATTATTTGATACGTATGATTGAATCGAGATAAACGAGTAAATTAGCGGTTTACATGTCATTTTCGATCGCTAAATGAAGTTCTAGATCTTAACGCTACACGTTTCAAATTTACAAGTGGTTGTTGAAGATGAACAACGATTTGTGATGCATATCCTTGAAACGGTGTTTGTGTTTGTGTGATTCACTTATATTAAACGATTAATCACTTGTAATGGACAAGTAACTGACGTTCATCAGTCAGAGTTCGTCGGCGGCTTATGCTACAGAGATTTGTTTGTATATTAGTTTTGATAGAGACGTATCCTATTTTATGGTTTTCAAGTTCGATCTGGATATGTCGGTGGCAAATATTAGTTACTTCATTTCTATTAAGAAACCTTTTTATCCTGCTTAAGTTGTTACTAATCGTGAAATCTCAACTCTTTGATGAAGATCCAAGTTATCATTGTTCTGTGCTAACATATCCATTTACATATGTACAATGATTACATTCAATATCTTAAGAAAAGACTATTTTTAGTGATTCAATCTTGCTCTTTTCTTATGTTGCAGGATTAGTCTTTCTGATCTGTGAAAAGGGTAAAAATATGAATAGAGGAGGAAGCAGTGGTGGGGGACAAAGCTCTTTAGGGTATTTGTTTGGAGGTGGAGAGACTCCAAAGCCAGTACCAAAAGCTACTACTCAAGCTGCTCCATGTGAAACTCAAATACCAGCTGCAAAACCTGAGCCTGTTGCTGTTTCTGCCCCAGTAGATGCTACAAAGCAGGTTCCTGCAGGAATTCATAGTCAACCTTCCAACAATTACTTCAGAGCTGATGGTCAAAACACTGGAAACTTCATTACAGTATGTCATTCATCGTCTCTCTAATTCTTATCTTCTTCATATTGAACATGAGTTTGTGTGTGTGTGTTTCTGATTTCAATGTCTTTTAATGGTGATGCAGGAAAGACCTTCGACTAAGGTCCATCATGCCCCTGGTGGTGGATCGTCTCTTGGGTACATGTTTGGCAATGGTGGAAGCAAGTGATGTAAGTCATGGTATGAGTTCTAATTAAGATTTGAAGTTGTAATCACAAAGATAAATGCTTTTTTGCTTTACTGATTGTGAAAATGTGCTTCATGTAATGTAATCTATTTGGTGAATGTTGGTTTGGATCATATCACTCTACATAAATCTTGCACCAATATTATTAGTTCAATCATGTTCATGATGGATGCTGTGAAATTTCTTGTGTTCTAAGTTGTTGATTGTTTGCTTATCCTGTTGTGTTTCAAGGATATCGATCCACAGCAACTTAAAGTTGCACCTCCAAACTTTAATAACTTGTGACATTGTGTTATCGCATCGATGTTACCTTTTCAATTAACTTATTTTCTAAGCCTTCAAAATGGATGCTGTCCTATCTACTTATTCATGTATTTTCCGGTTGTTTTTCATCATATTTAACCTTTTTGTGATAGAATGTGTTATAAATAAATGATGGATTATTCGAACACAAACAATCAACAACTTACATCGTAAGAAGTGAGGTTCTTATATAATAGTACTCAAAAACTCCTAATAAGAAGTAAACCAAACCAAAGGGCTTCTTAACTAAGTGTTGTTCTTCCTCCTTAAGACCGATGGTTCAAGACTTGCAAGCGACATTGGTGAAATTAGGAATGGTTTAGGAGTGAATTAGATTTGTTGTGAGAAAACCAAAAAAAGGAGTTGTTTGGTAACATGTGAATGGAACCATTCATAGGTCATCTCTAAACGATCTTTGAATGGTTAGGCTGTTTGGTAACATCTGAATGTGTTAGGCTTTGGAATTTGTCTTTGATTTGAATGGTTAGGCTATTGGGTAACATTCGGAACCATTCATATATCATCTCTAAAAGCCTTTGAACGAATCAAAAAACATTGGAACTGCTTTGAACGGTTAAGCTATCTTACATTCTCTTAACCATTAAGACGTTAGAATCATTCATTTCTTCCGCATTCAACGTGATTTATCAAACAACCTAGAAAACTTGAATACCAACCAAATTTGGAAACAAGTTCAAATTTGGATGTCGAAATCGGCTTTGGCATAACAACATTGTTGAATTGTTGAATATCACCATTTTGGGTTTGCTTTGTTGAACCAAGAGAAATGTTATCGAAATTGCAGGCGTAGTATAAAGTGTAATTTTAGTGCGATGAACATAACAAAGGCCATTCGACTTCCTCAATTCAACTTTAATCACAACTCAAAATTCGTTTGTGATCTTCAAAACATTATCTTCACATAACTATTTATAACCCTTGTTGAGAAGCTCAAGGAGATGAGAATCTTCTACATCATAGTAATAAACATGACATTGATCAAAGTTTGAATTATGTCATTCAACATCTTGAAATAGATAGTTCCAATACCTTCACTCTTTCATTGAGAATTATCGAAACTAAGATTGAAGTCACCATTGTAAAATGGTTATAAGATGGTAAACTCATTTGTATGTGAACACATGGTAAGTACAATCGAAACCAAGAACCTACTTGTGATTAACATCGTCACAACAATAATAATAATAACAAGAACTTATCCCTATGAACTATCATCACAAACATAGTTTTTAACTTTGTATCGGAGGCATTCATCTTTCTACATTCCGCAACTTATTACACTGGAAAATCTTGTGACCATCTTCTTAGTAATACTTGCAAAACTTGCCATTTCCTTTAAATTTCGATTTTTCCCAAACTATATATTCATTAAGATCGAGAATTGCTCAGCATCTCATTCAAAACCATTTGTTTCATATTTTCCCTGGAGTACAAGGCTTTGTAGTCTTCATTTAGTGCAAGATAATCTCAACTATAAAGAATAGTTGCACGAAGATTTTCAAAGGAGAAATAAAGTTATTAAGCTAAGATCCTCCTTATCACTTTTTATTTCCAAAGTAGCCAAATCATACACAATTTATTTGAAATAAAAGATATGGGTAAGTAGATTTTCACATTCTTGAAGCTTATGTAACAAAAAAAAAAGCTTTTGTTTTGAGTGCACCTTACTTGTGAGATCATTTTTCATGCAAATCGACTCAAGTTTAGACCATAAGGCAATGATAGTCTTTTCCTCAAGTTCTTCTTGGAAGATATTATTGTATGCAATCCTTTCTTTTCTCAACTTTAGACCAAGTGTATTACTATTTGCTTCCAAAAGAATCTAAAGTATCATTATAATCATTTTGACTCAAAAGATTTCTTATATTCACTTTCAAAAGAGAATGTATGGTTTCACCATATAATAATGGAAGATGAAACTTGATAGAAGCCATGAGAAAAAAATGATTATAATATTGTAAATTGTTTAGAGAAAAACATATATTATGGGAGCATGTTTATGGGATAAAAAGTCGACGGACTTAAACAAATCCTGTTAGAAATCTAGGGTAAACTGATTGCTTGGATTCCTTGAGAGTCGTGATGCACTTTAGATTGAAATATTTCGATGGTACAATCAAATATTCAATCGGATAAAATTTAGAGATTTCGAGAACACTGAAGGAAGAATGTTATAAACTTCTTGTTTACCGGAAAATGAAAATGACCAAAATTCATACATAGCTAATATCTGAAAATTAACCAAAAACTTTCATAATACAGTTAGAAAACCACCACTTATCGATCAAATAACCACTATAAAGTCGGGTCTAAATAGATATCACAAATCAAGTTTAAGACACAATTTTTGACCCAAGCCAGGGGCTCTGCCCCTTGGATCCCGTTAAGGGTTGCTACCCCTTAGACCCCGCTACCAGGGGCATTACCCCTGGACCTCCATTGGTTCAGGGGCTTCACACCTAAATAACAATGTACTTTCAACCAAGACAAACTTAAACATGTGTGCACTTCACACCACCCTAACTTGTTTAATATTTATCAAGGTAACATTGAGCAAACAAATTTATCCCATTAAACTTAAATAACATTTGTGACACAAATTACCAACAATTCTAAAAGGTAAAATCAATCTCATAGAAAGACAAGTGTTGGATGAGATAATATGGAATACTGACAAGAAAGAACCTTTAGGGTTGTATGAAAATTCGATTATGGTTAAGGGTAAAAGGGTATTAGAATCTTGAAATTTTGTCTTTGTTATAACTGATGGATATTTGGAATACAAACAACCGATAACTAAAAACATAAAGGCTGAAAATACCAAAAGAGAAGAGAAAATAGTTCAGAATGAATGAATTTGAATTAAACTTAACGAATTTAGTTATGGCCTTACAAAGAAAGTCATACTAATACTAAAAAACTCATTATAAGAAGGAAATATTCCTAAATAATAACGTGACTTGATAACCAAGTAACCAACTGCACTCATGATGGAAATCAACTTACACATAAACATAAAAACAGGTTACATGAAGCAGGAAGTGTTGTATTAAACAAGGAAAATACATGTTGGCGTAACACTACTAATAAAACACTTTAGGAACGGTGATACCATGCATAATTATATTTGTCATGCAATGTGAGGTTTTTGATAATCTGTAACAAAATGTTCATTTTATACTTATAAAGTTGTGTCGCACCGATGTGGGATACACTAACACTCACTATCAGGGTCGGAGGCTCGATAAGGATAGACAAGGATGTGCTAAGCCACTGGGGTGTGAGATGTCAACTCTGATACCATGTAAATATATTTGAAACTTAATATTGTTTCTGTAAAAATCCATGAACAGGGGAGCATAGTCAAAATTTTATATTTTTTGGCCTAATATGTATAAAATTAATGTATACGAGCTACTTCTAAGCAAAAAATCAGGGGAGGGGGGGGGGGTTGTAGGCCCCCTCACCCTAATAAAGTTCCGCCCTTGCTTAATTCTAAATGGTCCTGTTATCCCACATGTTTATGAACCTTTTTAACCTTTAGCTTATTAGGGTTTGTCCAATAAGTTTGATCTTACCTACTATTTATTCATCTTTTTGTTGTTAGTAGAGTTTATATTTTTCATTGACAACCTTTAATTTCTCTTTTTCAATAAATTTTATGGCAATATTATCATGTCCAATATTCTCCAAACTTAATTCAATATTAATAAAACTTTATCTTGGTGATTCACAAAATATATATATATATATATATATATATATATATATATATATATGTATATATATATAATAAAAATTAACTCTGTCATTTATAAATTCTTTTAGTTTATTATTGTCGGTCCTAAATCTGAATAAAAAAGGATAGTTTATAATGTTAAGTATAGTAAAAACCAAAGAATTTTATATTTTTGGTTGGCATGAACCCCAAATATTGAACCACCACTTTCGAAATTGTATTTAAAATATATAAAATTGAAATTTGAAAACTTTTTGTACCAAAAGATGGCAAACTTAGTTTTCTTATGTGTCGATTATATTAAATCAAAATGATTAAAGAATGAAATAAAAACAACTAAAAAAAATAAAATAGGTCAGATATATTAGATGATGCAGGATTTAATTTATTTACTTCGAAGTTCGAACGTTAAGATTTTCCATTTTTTCGGAGCAGAAATAGCAATTTGCGCTCGTATAGAGTAACAGAGTGTCTGAGCTTCGTCTCTTCACTCTTCAGTTCTTGGAATCGGATTAGAGATGATAAACCCTAAATTGGCTCGTAGTTTACGCAACTTACTTCCACTTATGCATAGAGACCTCAGCTCCCGCTTCTCTCCAACTCCCTTCGCCTCTCACCATGATCGAATTGCATTCCATCTTTTTCAGTCACGTCCATTCACCCTCCACAAATCTAACTCTTCTTTTTCGGTTGTGGTATTTGGGTTTCATCATTCTGTTTATCGTCCTCCTAAAATTTCCTCAAGTTTTAATCCTTCGTTTGCAAGTCATCATGGGTACTCCACCACCACCAATGCCTCTACTGAAGATATCCAGTGCCAAAACCCTCAAGAACCACCTCAATGTAATGCTCTATACTTACAATATCTCCATTTCTTTCATCCTGATAACCTAGGTTTGGTTTCCTTATCTATGTTTGCATGCCTTCCAAGTGTTCGATCAAAGTTCTGTTCGAAAATTTAGCTTATACAGTTCGTTATCTAGAGGTATGATTAAATCATCATGTGTCTTGATCCTAATATGAACCAACGATCTTGCAGCTGACACAAACGATGAAGTAGAACCAATCGACTTATGGGAGGAAGAAGACGAAGCTGAGCCTAAGGTACTGTACATTCTCTCATCTTTTACTCTACTCTACTTAAAAACACACCTTAAATTTATTTAGAATTTCACAGATCGGAGATGGTGGAGATGGAGGCGGTGTTGTCCTGCAAAACTGTCCTTGGGGCGAGAAAGTTCTATCCATTGCTCGAGACGTTTTGCTTCAGTTTGGTGATGACATAGAAATCTTCGCTTTCAAAACCTCCCCTCGTGGATACATTTATGTCAGATTAGATAGACTCTGTAACGAGTAAGATTCTCATTTTAGGAAAAAGTTATATACTTTTAAACAATCCCAACAAAAAAGATTTCATCTTGATTTGTGCATCAGATATGGGTGCCCTAGCATAGAGGATATTCAAAGTTACAGCCATGAATACAAGAAAAGACTAGACAAAGCAGGAGAAACTGGAGACATACCCTGTGATTTAGCTCTTGAGGTAACCATTATTATATAACCAACCATTGAATTATTTTCTATCTTTGATATAACTTATTTATGTTTTTTTTTTTTTTTTTCTTGGAAGGTGTCATCTCCAGGTGCAGATAGGCTACTGAGGATACCGGATGATTTAGAAAGATTTAAAGACATGGCTATGAGAGTGAAGTATGTAGATGATGATGATCATAGGTGTAAGGAAAAAGAAGGGGTGTTCTTTTTGGAAGCCATTGAAGGGGAATGTGAGAGGTGTGTATGGAGGTTGGCTGATGTGAAAGAAAATCGGGATCCTTCATCTAAAGGAAGACCTTTGAGCAGGAAACAAAAGGATTGGAGACTTGAACTTCCATATGAAAGGGTTGAGCAGGCAACTTTATACCTTGATTACCAATAAGTGTGCAACTTGGATTCTTCAATTTGTTCTTGAGGTACCTGTTTTTGGTGCTTAAGGATTATATATAAACTTGATGGAATTGGAGACCTTTTTGACATGTCTTTATGTATTTCAAGTTTTGGTATCTGTCAATATGGATTATGAACTTGAAAATGAATGTATGTTGTTGGAGGTCTTTATAATACGGCTAATTGAAGCCACAAAATAAAAACAATGTCTAATCCAACAAACACAAATTAAAAACAACAAATCAACCAAACAATAGTAGCTACGCAATCGAGAAAACTGTTTATATCTAATGTGAAACTGCGTATAAGCTACAACATACTACAAAATGGCTACGTATGTTCAAAAAGCGTAGACTTGACTTTTTTTATGTGTTTATGAATGGATATGGACAACGGACTTGTAATAGTCGTTTGGTGCATGTGATCAACACTTATGTCAATGTCGTTTGTTGATGATAACATACATGAAACCATAATTTTATTGTTTCACTCACGTTTTAGGCTTAAAGTGATAGACGTTACCATAACTAGTTTAACATATACCTGTTAATTGTCTTTTCTTGATCTTTATTCATTTGGATAAAATTGTTGGTATATACATCTATTTTCTCGGTTCTTTTGGTCTCTCAAATTTAAAAGAACAAGCATTACACAAATTTAGTCATCGATTCCACGTTTTTGCCTTTAAATTTGAAGTTGATTTCAACTGGATAATCGTTGGTACGTTTCATGACAGATGACACCTGGACAATTAATTGTGGAAATACTTCTTACAGACTTTGAAACCACATACAACAACAGGTAAACATAAACCAAACTACAAAATTGCACATCCAACTTAAGGCTAAAATACTGCCACTAATCCCTATCAAGCACATCATTTTGTCTCAAAGTTGAAGAATCAAAACTTGTAAACAAAAACTACAAACCTCTCCTTTTAGCCCCAACCACTTGATTTACTACTCTCCTCACAGGCTCTTCATCCTCCATTCCAATGTCACTTATATCTTCCGAATCATAATCACCATCTATCACCACATTCACACCTTCATCTTCTTCCAAATCATCACCATCATCTCTCTTCACATCTAAGCTCACTTCTTCTTCTTCTTCTTCTTCTTCAACCTACACATCACACAACAAGAAAAGATACAAAATCAAATCAACAACATTATTTGATAAACTAACTATATATTAACACAAAAAATCATCAACTTACAGGGATCAGAGTCCGGAATGCTTTTTGGGAGATTGTTCTAAGCCCATTTGGATCCGAGAAAAACTCATCATCTTCCATCCCCGGTTTTGGAGGGTAGCCTCGTGTCCTGGCTTGAAGCCATTGTTGTGTCACCCCACGGTTAATGGCATAGTCAATACTATGCACCAAGTACTCTTTATCAGTCATCAAGTGTGGTTGAACTATCAACTTACTCATAAGCCCTGATCCCATTATTTTAAATAAAATCCGTTACATACAAAAATAAAAGTTCTTGTCATAAATCTTGAAATGTGTTCATTTTGTATTACCTGCAACAATGCCATCTCCAGCTGCTGACATGTCAGAAGTGAAAGGGGTAATGGGCGGATCCTCCATTCCAAGAACCGACCCGTTATGCTCCTTTGTATAGTAGTGAATCTTGGAAGTCCCGTTTGTGACAAATAAAAGTTGAAGATTGTCGGGTCGGATCAACCCGATTTGATCCGGATCGTAGTGGACAAACTTTGATCTATCGTTGTCCTTGGTGTCAAATCTTTCAGATGGGACAATCCCACATAAGAATTCGAGTTCTTGTTTGGTGACTTCGATTATATCTGCAAGTTCTAATGCTTCTTGAATGATTGATTGAGTTTCTTCACGAGAATGCCAAAGTGGTAATGGAAGATTGAGATCAAAAAAGATGAGTCCTCCAAGTTGCTTTGAGATCTTGATAGCTTGCAATGCACTTGTTCTCATTTTTTTGTCAAGAAGAGAGAATGAATTGAAGTAAAACATTTTTGCCTGCAAAATAAGGTCAACAATCATAAACATGGTGCCATTTGGGATAAAAGTTGAAGGGTTAAACAATTATACCAATTTATGTAACAATGTTATGTTTACTTTCATATGAGATCTTGAAGTGTCATTAGAGTCAATATCTAAACTATTCTTTCAAGAAAAATCAAGATTACTTACCTCTTTGAGCACATCAACATTGATTTCCGACTTTTTTAGCGAATCCTCCGCACACGCGTTGACACATGTCATCTTCAAACTACCCCTTTTGCTCATTTTCATCCGTGAAACCGAAGTTGTCCTTTTTGCATCAATCCGAATGGATCGAGTTTGAACTCGATTCTCATTCAAATGTAACAACAAAGCTTGACCAAAGTCATCATCCCCGATTTTACCCATCAAAACCGCATTACTCCCAATATTAGCAAGACACAGTGCCACGTCACTCGCACACCCTCCGGGTGCCCTAACAAACTTCTCTGGGGCCCACAACGCTTCCTTCATTCGTTCATGTGATTCATGATCCAAAAGTCTATTGGCTCGCCTTCCGGAAGGTACAAATGCATGATGAGTGGATCCAAAACAACAAATTAGAGGTGGCCATGAGTATGTAAAGCTTATATCTTCAACATTTTCATCAAATTGTATATCTTTTTCGTTATCTGTATCATCTTCAATCTCACTTAGCTCGGTTTCACTACTTTGATCTATTGTATCATCCATCTTTTTCTTGACACGTGTACGCCTTGTCACCTTTTTTTCTGGTTCTTCTTCTTCTAAGTTACTTGAAGTAGAAGCGATTGCAATTTCTAGAAAAGGAGAATATATGTCAATTTTTATAAAGTGCAAGAAAATTGTCGCTCGTTCTTAATATAAGACTGACCTTTTTTTCGAGTTCTTCTTTGAGGTTTCTCCGGAACTGTTGTGGACTCGGAGGGCAATGATGTCTTTTCGTCTGTGTTGCTAATAATAGTCTCTGGTATGGAGTTTTCTTCTGGAACATCTGATTCTACTTTTTTTCTTCTTCTTGATGGAGCTCTTTTACGTGTTGTCTTCTTTTCTGAGTCGTCTTCTTCTCCATCAGATGTATTTTCTGCGAGTTTTCTTCTGGGAACTGCTGTAATGGCAAATCTACTACACAGTCTAACATCTGGGAATTTTACAAGATTTATTGAGGGTATCGAAGGCAAATTCGAGTGCCACCTACAGAGTACATAATCCAGAGTTTATAAGAATTTGTTAAATGCTTTATCTTTATGCAAACATTATGTTGTTCATGGTATTGTTTGTAAAGATTGTTATAGTTCGTGAAAAGAGAGCTAAAAAACAAACATTCAAACAATCGAATTGCTATCTTTTTCTCTTTGAAATTGACATCACTACATTTCTCTCCTTATCCTTTCTTTTTCCCATTACAGGCGAATAATCAACTTGAACAAAATACTGAAATCAAAACTCAACTTTCAGAAATTTCGCACTGAATTCTACGATTTGCAAGCGATTCAAGTTAACATCACTAAATTATTTTTACAAATAGCATGTGGCTATGTTGGTTCATAGATATATCTATATGTATCTGTGTTTGAGAGAGAGAGAGAGAGAGAGAGAGAGAGAGAGAGAACCTGGGCAAAGAACAAAATTGGGTAAAAGAAGGGAAAGACGCCATTTTTGACACACCAAAAGCTTGAGCTTTCAAGAATCCCACCTCAACGCCACCATTTCACAGAACCCAACCCCTTCTCTGGGTTTAAAGATGAGGGCTTTACTTTGACCTCTTTTCCAATCTGAAATACCCAAAACCAGATAAATATACAATATTAAATGCACAATGTACAAGACATGTCGATTTAAAGATTTATCAATTTTAGATCTCGAAATGAGCTTACCTTTTACCTTTTTACTATTGCTATATTTACAGGATTGCCACTGCCCTTGAAAGATATCAACAGAATAACCCCCATTCAAAAGGGTTTCACTCCGCTTACACAGGGTTACACATGTATATGTTTGTATGAGTTCTCGAATCCCTCACATTCGATTCTCGTTGCAGCAAACGGTGTTAAAGGTGCTTACTTTTTTGGTTTTTTTAAATTTCCCGTTTGAAGATTCGTTCGAGTTTTCAATCTCTGTTCCATATATTTTGACTGTAATATCTTGACTTGCAGAGACCCATCTCAATGCTAGATTTGGGCTTTATTGTTGATGAAGCTCCATAAGTGAATACTTTAAAGCTGTTCTATGCCATATAATCTTCTAGAGGTAACACCCCGAATCCGTTTCTAGTGATTTGTTGATATAAAAATTGAAGTTGATAACACAAAGTTCTTAGACCTGAATAGATGGACACGTTTTGACTTTTGTAGTAAAAAAGTAAGGGGATCTTTAATGCTAGCTGATTTATAACTTCATAAGATTGTTCAAAAGATATGTGCTAGTAGACTAGTAAATCCCTTCATTGCAAAAAGATGATGCTGGAAATTATCCTGTAGTCAAATAATACGCCATTTGTTCCCAAAAGAAAGGGATTTAGACTCGATACTAAACAGTAATTTTTTATAATCGTTTTGGACTCTGTCTTTGCAGATTTCCCCTTCACCACTTAATCTGAAAACTTGATGAAAGTTTATATCTTATAAAAACATGAATATTTGCAAGCGGATACTACCATCAAGGTTATCATCATACACTCATGCCATTACATCTTACAAAGGTAGACTACCCAATTCATCTTTATATGAAGTTATAAAGATTTTGGGCATCTTTTCTTGAAAACTGACACTATTGATTCTTTTTCTTGCAGCATCATTTTCTTTCTTTCATTCCTCACCAGACACTTCAATTCAAGTTCATTCCGAAGAACAACAAGTAGTAATTGCTTTAGGTAGCAATGTAGGCAATAGACTCAACAACTTCAATGAAGCCTTAACACAAATGAAGAAATCCGGTTTACAAATCACAAGACACGCGTGTCTATACGAAACCGAGCCCGCTTATGTCACCGATCAGCCTCTCTTTCTCAATTCAGCCATTAGAGCCACCACAAAACTCGGGCCCCACGAACTACTTTCAGTCTTGAAAAAAATCGAAAAGGAAATGGGCCGAACCAAAGGGATCCGGTATGGCCCACGACCCATCGACTTAGATATATTATTCTACGGAAAATACAAAATCAAATCCGAAACCCTCACAGTTCCCCATGAAAGAATCTTTGAGAGACCATTTGTTATGGCTCCATTAGTTGACTTATTAGGGTCGGATGTTGACCATGATACGGTTTTACACTGGCATTCTTTTTCAAAAAAAGGAGGAATCTTTGAATCTTGGGAAGAATTAGGTGGTGAATCTTTAATAGGAAAAGATGGGTTAAGAAGAGTGTTACCCGTTTCCAATCGGTTATGGGATTGGTCAAAGAAGACTTCGGTTATGGGAATCTTGAATTTGACTCCCGATAGTTTTAGTGATGGAGGGAAGTTTGAAAGTATCGCGGATGCTATGTCTCATGTTCAAACCATGATATCTCAAGGGGTGGATATAATCGATCTTGGAGCTCAATCCACACGTCCAATGGCTTCAAGAATCTCAGTTACACAAGAACTAGATCGTCTGATTCCGGTTCTTGAAAGGGTTCTTAAATTACCCGAAATTGAAGGAAAGTTGATATCCGTAGACACGTTTTATTCCGAAGTTGCTTTGGAAGCGGTCAAAAAAGGCGCTCATATAGTCAATGATGTATCGGGCGGAACCATGGATTCCGACATGCTTAATGTCATGGGGAAGCTTAATGTCCCGTATGTAGTTATGCACATGAGGGGGGACCCACACACGATGCAAAATGTTGAGAATGTGAAGTATGATGATGTTTGTAAAGAAGTTGGTGATGAGTTGTATGAGAGGGTAAGAATTGCGGAATTACATGGCGTGCCAGCTTGGCGGATTGTTCTTGACCCCGGAATTGGATTTTCGAAGAATACGGAGGGTAATTTGGAGATTTTGATGGGGTTGAAGAGGATTAGGGAAGAGATTGGGAGGAAGAGTTTAGGGGTGTCGCGTGTGCCTTTGTTGATTGGGCCTTCAAGAAAGAGGTTTTTGGGGGAGATTTGTGGGCGGGTTTCTGGTGTTGAGAGAGATCCGGGGACTGTTGCTGCTGTTACTTGTGGTGTTTTGGGTGGGGCGAATATTGTTAGGGTTCATAATGTTGGAGATAATGTGGATGCTGTGAAGCTTTGTGATTCTATGTTGGATCAAGTTGGGAGATAAATGATTATTGAATTTTTTTTTTTTTTTTTTTTTTTTGAGAGAGGAGTTTGAACCATATGTAGATGAAGACATGATAAATGTTTTGTTTTTGTAAGGGCACAAATGAGATACAAATTTTTGTGATCAAAACTGTCAAAATTTGGGTTGAGAAATTACATATCAATCTTTTTTCCTTCAATTTCAATAAAATGTTCAGTTTCTGCTTTTGTAAAACAAAGCAATAGTCTCAAAAGTTTGATCAAAATTAACATGAAACTAGGATACAACACAAGCAACCAAAATAAACTAAGTATTGTTCTGTTTCACTGCTTCAGCTTCAGCAATAGCCATGGGATCATCTTGTTCATCTTTCTCACCTTCGCGTTCATCTACCAGTTTTTTTCTATGCAATTCTTCAGCAGCCTGCATTGATGCTTGGTTTTCTGCTTGAATCCGTTTCATTTCTTCTTCCTGCTGCTGTCTTTCAAACCATGTATCCGCATCCGCCCAAACTGAAATTTTAAAACACTAAATCGTTAAATACAATCAAGCTAGAGCATATGAAGAAGCATAAAATCTATGTTTTGGAAGCATGAACATCAATGGATGCCACAGCAAACTAGAATGAATACTTGCTAAGTCTCTGCATCAACTAATCAAGCATTGGTTTTAAACCTAATCTGCTAAAGCCATCGTAAAGTACCAATCCGCATATCAAAAAGAACAAACAAAATCTAGGGTTTAAGACCAAGGTTTTAAGAAGGAGAAACGAATACATACTAGGTTGAGCAGCCCAGCCCTGTTCACCACCCTTAATTTTCTCCGGTAGAGCGTAATTGACGGTGAGTACACGGCCGTAAAGCTCAGCACCATCCATGTTATCCATCGCAGCAGCCGCATCCTCTCTCTCCAGAAAAGTCACAAACCCAAACGATCGGTGTTTCTGCGTCGCCTGATCCAACGGCGTCTTCACATCTTTAATGTCTCCGAACGGTATGAACGCTGAATGCAAAATCGTTTCATTCACCTCCTCTGGCAATCCACCTAATTAACCAACAACAAGAAGAAGTTCAATCAAATATATCACTTGTGCAACATAATCTATAATCCATATCCATACATTGTATGTCAATTTGAGTTTGAAATTTAAATTGGGGGAAGGGTTTCTTACCAACGTAGAGTGTGTTCTTCTGTACCTGTTGATTCATTCTGTCGCTAGATCACAGTAACGGCGGAGAGGCCGAGTTTTATACTAATTGTACTAAAGAAAATATATTAGGTTGAAGAGTGTCATAACTCATACTCAAAGGGTTGTCGGTGTAATATTTGATTTTACAATAAAACATTTAAGACTATTATATCCATCTCATCATCTGTTATACTATGAAAGATGGAAATAAACAAAATGGATAATATATACTATTTTCTATATTTTTTTGGATGTTTTTAATTTATGTTATTTTAATTTGTTTTATTTTTTTATTTATGTCATATATCTATAAAAAAACATATAAATTAATAAAATATAAAATAGTGAATTAAAAATACCATATAAACTTAAAAAAAACATTTAAAAAAAAGGAAAAAACATTGAACAAAAAACACACGATAGTCCTAATAATTAAAAAAATACTGACAAACTATTCTTTACCCAAGTATTTGCTCTCGATCTTTGCCTTCATTCTCTGTATCACTTCAGCTCGTCTTAGTGATAAATTTTCTTCGTTTGTCGTAAGAATTGCCAAATTTTTCGATATGCGATCTTCTTTGGCTTCTTGACGGAGGAAATCCAAATGCTCCCGTTGCAATTCATATCTTTTATTTGCGATTTCTACGGGGGCGTCGATTTTTTTTTTTTCATTTTGTCGCTGCTCTCGAAGCCGACTTTCATTCTCCTGCGCATGTCGTTGCGCGCGCTTCGCTTTGTCGCTCTCCATCGGTCGTCGTGACGAAGATATTTCCTCGATGCCGTCAAACTCGTTCGGGATCTCATCGGTGTCTGTATTGAGGTCGATGTTCGTGTGTCCGTCGGAAACGTCAACCGAACCCAAACCACAAGACCTCTTTGATTGTTGTTTCGATGATGTTGGGGTTTTTATCCATTTTGGATCTTTCCTCACTATCTCCCATACTTTTTCATACTCAAATATGTGACCCATTTGCACGTGATATTCCTCCCTCACGGCTCTAAACACATTGAAATCATTGGCACCACTTTGACGTTGCGAAGAAAGTTTGTTGTATATGGAATTTAATTTGGTGCACTTCCGACTAATTTGAGTCAATTTGCCACTAAGCATATCATTATTGCGATATGTGTCACCCTTGTTCAAAATTGTGCGGAATTTGACAATTACGGCATCCCAAAAATCAACTCTCTTCATATAGTTCCCCAAAGTTGATTGTTTTGAAGTATCGCACCAAGCCACCGCCAACGCATGCTCTTCCTCCGGTGTCCACCATGTTGGAGGTGCTTTCCTTCCGCCCCGACCACGACCTCTTTCCCTTTCTTTTTTGATCTCCCTTTTTTTCCCGATGCTTTCCGACTACCCCCGATTTGCGTCTCAATAACCGTTTCTTGCGTGGGTGGGGGTTGTGTGGTTATTTGTCGTATAAAAGGCGAGACAGAGAATTATAGTGGGGGTGAGGTGAGATTGAAAAAATTGGTGGTATATAGAATTTGTGGTGAGTTTTGCGAGTTGAGGAGGTTTATGTAGCCCTCGTATGCCATAAAACCTATTGGCGTGGATGTGTTTGTGTTTGGAGGAGGAGTATTTGGGTTTTGATTCATAGCTAGTTGATTTTTGTGTTTGTGTTTTGAGTGATTTAGTAAATAGATATAGAGAAATATACGTGTAGTAAAAAGAATGAGGTGTGTATATATATATATATATATATATATATATATAATGAAAATGTAATTAGTAATTTTTTTTATTAAAATTACCCTTTTTAAACGGTTGAAATTTGAAATTGTACCGTTTTTAAACGGTTTAATTTTGCAACGTTCGAATTAATCCGTGTTACGATACGTTACCACAATAGCGAGGGATAACATAACATGTAATGATGGGAGGGTGGGGCAGTGTTCACCCGTTATGGTGCTGCCACATCGGATAATGTCATACACGCGTTGCCTACACCCGTCCCTCTAATGGGATACCAAATCATATTTCATTTTAGAACAGAAGCTTTAAAGAGACGATGTTAATTGATATTTTTTATACGGTAGCACCGGTTAAATGTGTATTCATATATGGACAAAATCGCAAAATGGTCTTCTGTGGTATGTATTTTTTGGGGTTTTAGTCCAAACCCTTTTTTGGATTAGTGGTCTTTTTGAGCTAGTTTCGTTGCGGATTTGATCCATAGGTAAACTAAAATGATTGGAATGCCCTTCTGATTATTTTTTATGTTTTTTCTATTTAAATTAAATGAAAAAAAGCATAATTAATTAATTTGGGCCCACATCTCTGTGTGTGTGTGTGTGTGTGAAAAGAAAAAGCCAAAAAAAACCCACCCCAATCCATCTTCTTCTTCCCCATATTTTCTACCTCAATTGTTATGCAATAAACCCTATAAATTATTGATGAAGAATTATAAGCTACTCTGGAGTAAAAAAGATGAATAAACGGGAGTTGGGAGCTTACTTGTATGAAGGGGATTTTCGTGTATAGGGAACCCTCATCAACCCCATTGGGTTTTCCAATTCCTTGCAGCTTCGATCCCATTCCATTGTCTCGATGATGTTTATTGAATAATATTTCGAATTGGAACCGATAAACCATCGATTAGTCCCTAATACACACGATTTAGTCT